TTTGTCTCTGTCTCTGTCATTCTGTCGTTACCTCTGTTCTCTCTGTCTCTCTCTTATCCCCAGAGTGACACCGCTAGCATGGCTTGATTACACTGAACATGAGATATATTTTAGTGTATTGTATGAATTAATGCCGTCACTTTCCATTTGTCACTTCACACCTCTCTGCTTTCACAAAACTTTCCAGCCGACACAGGTAGCATTTTGCTATACCCCTCCTGAGGAAACCAGAGACTTGTGAAAAACAACATTGTGGCTTGGTGGTGTGAATTACAGACCCCCAACCTGAAGTTCATTTAATTAAGACCTTTAGGATCTCTGTGTTGAAGCATTATATTTTATTTATCAAAAATAAGCACCCTGAAATTTAGCTTTATGTTTACTATATGTCTGATGTGACTCAGCAAAGCATAATAACAATGTTTCTCCTCCATTTAGTTATGAAATACAATCTACCTATAATTTTTGTTGTAAAAATTGTTAATTAAAGATCCTGAATATTAAGCATTTAATCTTTTTCATAAAATTAATGTTGGGTAGCTTTCAGTTTCAGAAACAGGAGCTAATCCTGAACTATTAACCTTGTGCTTTTTCTGTAGGTATCACATGAGAATCCCTTGAATCAAAAAGTCTGTGGAAACCACAGGGCAGTGATGTCATGGAAGGTCCCTCAGCGCAGTACAAATACATGAAGTGAAGAGGAAACGCAGCACAGTAGAAGTGTTATTGCTCGTGAGTGACAGAGATGGAACTGCTACGGCTCGGCGTCTTCGTTTTACTCATACAGGGTGAGTCCTTTACTTTCAATACTCGTTGACTTTGTTGTAAAAAGTAAATGCAGAAAGGAGACGATAAACTGAATCTGATTAAAAATGACTGGACGTCAAGTCTTTCAACTTTCTTTTGCTTTTTGAGATATTTTATATGAAAAGCTAATGATGAAGTCATCAGCAGCTATGATAAATTGCAACTTCATCTGGATTGTCATCCAATTTTATTTCATTTTATTATATGTTATTGTGTATTTATTATTATTTTACTCATTTAATTCTGCCACTCTAGTAAAATATGTATGCGTGTATGTTTACATATAAATATACTGCATATATCTGTCTGTTTACTTTTGTGTGAGACGTACCAGCATATTATATTTCCTGTGAATTTCCTTGAACTGTTCTTTATAAATCAGGCCTTAATAATCCAAAAAATTATCAATGACTAAAATCTAGAGCTGTCAGAGTTGTTTTCTGTGTTTTTCCTACATTTGTTCCAAAGTACAGTTCAATATCAGTAATATCTTACACACAACACACACGTGTGAAAAAGTCTTGATGACCTCGGATTCTTTAAGCCCACTGCCCCCAACGCTGGTGTGAGTTGTGTTTTCCAAACAGCCCGTCATTCTCACCCCGTAGGAAAGAAAAAGCACCCAAAGCCCCCATAAAAAACCCACAGCATTTTTAGATTTTCTCTTACACCGCCCATCACTTTCTCTTTCACCATGAAAGGACTGACCACATTACTTCCTTTCACATCAGCAATGCATCAGATATGTGATAGGGGGGGGGCTTCTTCTTTAGCTGCAGTAGAGTGAAGAACAGTTTTTTCTACCTGTCACACCACCTCTGCATGTGTATACGCACACACACAAACAGTCCCAGGACAGTGGCACAGACATAGATGAGTCAAACTGTGAGAAACAGGGTTTCAAGTTCGGACACCTCTGTGTGCGAGGGAGGGAAACATACATAAACTGCTCATAAAAGGTCATGTCATAAAATGTTATTGTGCTCTCAGTGTGCTCTTAGTGTGAATTGTCAAAGAAATTCTTGTTCCTATTTATTTAATTGCAGTTTCCCTTGCGGTGTGGCAGCGTCTGACTGTGAAGAAAGGTCAGACAGTTGATTTAAAATGTCCAGTCACCGATGCTGACCGGACCAATGTGGACTGGAAGAATCCTGAAGGATATATTATGTTCTTCAAGCACAGTGAAGGTGAATATGACATATCTTACTCTTCAGTCACACCAATAAATGCAATAAGCAGCAAAACAGATGTCTGTCTGATGTTTGGGTCAAAATTGCAAGGATCTCTCAGACCTTTTTACTCTCTTTTACCCCATGTAGTGTCCCCAGGTGTAAGGGACAAGCGCTACAGCATCAACAAACTGTCTCAGTCGGAATTCAATGTCCGTATCTCCGATGTCACCTTTAAAGATGGAGGCAACTACACATGCTCTCAGTACGGCGAACGCATAACAGAGAAGATAGTGGAGGTGACGGTGTTAGGTGGGTATAATACTGCAGTTGACTGGGTCACAGAACCAAAGACATGACAATGATTTAGTAAAAGTACTGCCAGAGCTATAACCATGACTTGCCATGACCATTGACCTTTTTCACAGCAGCCA